TTGTTTTGTTTTGCTTTTTTGGTGTTTATTTTGTTTAGGTTTCGCTGTTTCGCTGAGCTTCTTGGATCTTTGGTTTGACCTCTTTTTATGTTTAAGAAGTTCTTAGCCAGCTCTTCTCTCCTCTCCTCTCCTCTCCTCTCCTCGCCTCTCCTCTCCTCGCCTCGCCTCGCCTCGCCTCGCCTCGCCTCGCCTCGCCTCTTCTCTCTTCTCTTCTCTTCCTTTTTTCTTTTTTTGAGGCAGGGTCTTACTTTGTCACCCAGGCTGGAGTTCAGTGGCATGAACACGACACAGTGCAGCCTTAACCTCCTGGGCTCAAGCAATTCTCCTGCCTCGGCCCCACAAATAGCTGCGTCTACACACTTGCGCCACCACACCTGGCTAATTTTTGTATTTTTAGTAGAGACAAGGTTTTGTCATCTTGCCCAGGCTGGTGTTGAACTCCTGAGCTCAGGCGATCTGCCCGTCTTGGCCTCCCAGAGTGCTGGGATTACAGGTGTGAGTCACTGTGCCCGGCCCACTTTATTTCTTCAGCCTTGGTTTTTTTTTTTTTTTCTTTCTGGGATTCCTTGTACACAACGTTAGATTGTTTGACGTTGTCCCACAGCTCTTCAATGCCCTCCTCTTTTTTTCTCTTTCCATTTTAGTTTTAGATAATTTATCTTGGCCTTTAAAATTATGCACCAGTTCTTCCTTGTTGAGTATACTTATGAGCCAGTCAAAGGTATTTCTCTCTGGTACTGTTGGTTTCTGGTGTTTTATGCTGACGTTCTTGAAATTCCTGGTCTGTAGTACAACATTTCAGTCATCTCTGAGTGTGCTTCTGTTGATGTTTTTCTCTCTTGACTGGGGATTCAGATTTCTCTAGTGCAAGGCTTTTCAACCTCAGTATTTTTAATGTGTTGGGCCAAGTAATTCTTTGGGGTTCGAAGAAGGGGCTGCCCTGCTCATTGTTTGGTGCTGAGCAGCATTCTGTTGGACACTAGGTACCTCCCCCATCTGTGACCGCCATAACTCTGTCACCTGTGCTCCCGGCCATAGGGTGCACTTTCCCTCCCAGCCAGCCCCCTTGTTCAGCAAGACAAGGATCCATGTAGGCCTCACACCGAGGAGGCTTCCCCTGGTCTCCACCTTCCCTGCCTCCTGTGAGCACCAGGAGCCAACCAAGGAGAAGAGCGAGCAGCGGGGCTCACTCCCGGGGGCTGCAGCCTCCAGGCTGTGTCCTGCTGGGGGAGGCACTCACGGCTGCCTGGATTGCCTTTCCGTTCTTGAGTGACTTTGTTTTCTTTGTTTTCCTTAGAGCTAATCATTGCCTCCCTATTTATTTTTTGGTTTCTGTGTACTTGTTATAAACCCATTCCCAAGCTGATGGAATTGCACGTTTGTATCCTCAGACACCAATTGCTGGATCACGTATCTTCGCTTTACTCTTATCTTGGTGGTACATAACCTTTAGTTCTTAAGACACGTTGCTCAGAAGATAACTGTTTTGAGCCTTTGAATTCTGAAATGGTCTCTCTCATGTCACGGACACTGTGGCCTTCCAGTTCTCCCCTCAGGCTGTCTCCATCTTCCATGTCTTTTTTTTTTTTTTTTTGAGATGGAGACTCATTCTTTCGCCCAGGCGGGAGTGCCGTGGTGCAATCTCTGCTCACTGCAGCCTCCACCTCCCGGGTTCACGTGGTTCTGGTGCCTCACCCTCCTGAGTAGCTGGGATTACAGGTGCTCACCACCACGCCCGGCTAGTTTTCTTGCATTTTAGTAGAGACGGAATTTCCCTATGTTGGCCAGGCTGGTCTCAAACTCCTGACCTCGGGTGATCTTCCCACCTCGGGTTTACAGCTGTGAGTCATTGTACCTGTTTATCTCCCATGTCTTTGAGCATAATCGTGCTAGTGTCTCCTGAGAACTCTTCTCTGTCTGCACATCTCGGTGCTCCTCAGAGTCCTGGTCTTGGCTGGTTGGCTTTAGTCCCTGTTTTTGTCTTAGCTCACCACACACAAGCACCTGCTGGACGACATGGTCTTACCAAGGAAACGGGGGTGCTGGGGTGCTTTGGCTGCAGCAATGCTGTTCCCACCTTTGGACTTTGTTCATGTTTGCTTGGGCAGCGAGGGGCAGAGAGGGTGCCGCTGGGCAGGAAGGGAGGGTCCCCATCTGCAGACCCGAACTGCACTGCAGAACAGCTGGGATGAGTCACAGGTGACCCTGACATGTCTGGTTTAAACCAGATCCAAGGAAGAGGAAGGAAGGGAGGGCATTCCCACAGCCAATGAAAGGCCAGCCCAGGACAGCTGCACACCCCGCTGTGTCCTAATAAGCCCACCCTGCAGAGCCTGTGGGCACTGGGTATTAAATGGCTCTGAGAAAGTGGTACCTGTGTTCCGCGGTATAATGGTTCTAAGGTTATATGGAGTATGATTTGTTAGCAATGCATATGGAGTTATTTATGGCTAAAATGGCATCATTTTACCCCTAGGTACTTTGTTATATATTCCAGCACACCCCTCCAAGCACAAAAGATTTAGGGGATGGCTTGAACGAGAAGGGAAAATACTGGTAATTTTTGAAATAAGGCACGGGCACATGGGGATACATTTCACTTTTGTCTCTATTTTTGAAAGTTTTCTTAACAGAATAATAAAACAGTGAGACACTAAAAAAAAAAAAAAAGAAAGAAAAGAAAAAGCAGGAAACCCTTTTGTAGCGGTGGGCTTGTGTGGAGAGTGAGCTCTGTGGCCACCTCTGCAGAGGGTGACCCCTCACCTGTGCCAGGTGGGGCGGCTGGCTGTGTGGGCCTTGTCTGAGGCTCCGCCTCGCCTGCTCTGTGTTTGCAGCAGCTCAGCCCCTGCCTCCGGAGCTGGCCCCGATTCTTTAGCCTTTCCAGGGTTCTGCTGGTGGGGACCCACCTGCAGGCAAGCAGGTTTGGGTTATCTCTGCTTTGCCAAGTCAGTGCCTATTTCAGCTGCTTTCTGTCCTGAAAGCACAGCTCCTCCCCTCAGTGGGCTCCTTTCTTGTTCTGGTCCCTCCTTCAGGGTCCGGTCAGCAGCCGGTGAATCTGTGCCCTGCCCTGGCATACCTGGGGCGCCCCTCCCACCCATGGCGGTTGACTACCCCTAATGCCTCTGTGTTTTTCCCACCTTGTTAAAGGATTATTTGTTTTATCTCTTTTTTCTCAACCCTAACTGTATCCCATTGTCATTTATTTGACATATCCTTCCCAGAACATCTCCTTCCTTACATTCTCCTGCCATTCTACCTGGACCCCCGACCCCACAACTCCCTTCTCTGTTTCCTTGTTACACAGCACAGAGCCAGAAACATATAGCGTTATCGATTTTTATGATCGTATAAATAATGCATGCTGATTGTAAAATAATCCAGATACTACATACATGCATGAAGAAGAAAGTACAAATCACTTGTTATTCCAAAACTGAGGGAATCATTCTTAGTATTTTTGTATGTCCTCCCAGACTTCTGTGTGTATAACCACATTGAATTTTTGAAAATAACTTGTTTTTCCTTTAATGTAAACATTTTTCAAAGTCAGTAGCTACAAGTGCTCTGCAGCCGCTGGTCCTGAACCAGGGATTCACGCAGACGCACTTGGTGGTGGTGGTGTGGAGGGGGCACTTTTTCAGGACGTACGTGCCCTGGTTCTACGCCTTTCAGGTCCTGTTCCATAGGTATGGGGTGGTGTGCAGACAGTCTTTTAAAAAATCTCCCAGATGATTCTAATACAGCCTCATTTGGGCATTGGGAAGTCTCTTGCTGGCTTCAGGGTAGATGATTTATGCCACCCGGGCGTGCCCTGCAGCCACTCTTTTGCAGGTAGACAGGTTGGTTGCTCCTACTTTTCTGTTGCTGCAAAAGCTAGGTCCTTCTAGATACATGTTTGTGCACTTAATTATGTCTTCAAGTGGAGTCTTAAAAAAAGATGATGTATTTGCAAGCTTTTTGATTCATGTCTCCGAGTTGCTTGCCATGAAGTTGGGACAGAACTCACAGTGATGGTATGTCGTCTCTGCAGACCCCACAGACACCAGCTTTGCAGTGTGCCAGACCAAATGACCAAATGGGAAGAATGTCAGAGGCTTTTTACGTTGAATTTCTTTGTGTAATTTCCTTTGGGGGCATTTGTAGTTCTTCTTTTGTGAATTGTCACTCAATTCTTTGCTTATTTTTTGGGGGCCTACTTCTTGTTTTCTTACTGGCTGTCAGAGAACTCTCCATAGCAAACCAGTAAGGCTTTGTCTGGTGCGCTCCAGGGTGCCTGTCATCCTGGGTGCCCTTAGTGCTTTCACCTTCACAGGCGCCTTCAAGTCCTGGTCCTCTCAGAGCCCTCCACTGACCATGTCCCCCAGGCAGGCCCCGGACTCTGTGTTCTGCCCCTTGCCCTGTGTGCAGGTTCCTCTGGCTGCCCCGGAATCCTTGGGGCTCCCATAGATTCATTATGCCGTTGCCCACTGCTGGCCTGTGATGGCCTGGACTCTCCTGCCAGGTGTATGTCCATGTTTCCTTGATACCAGCCCAGAGCCCCTCTCACCTCAGAATCTTCCTTGACTTCTGCCAGAGTTGAGCAGCTGGCCCTCTGATAGGCACATATGAGTGGATGTGGTCACGCCTGGCCCCCGGATCTGGTGGGAGTAGTCGCGCCCGGCCCCCCGGATCTGGTGGGAGTGGGCACGCCCAGCCCCCCGGATCTGGTGGGAGTGGGCGCGCCCGGCCCCCTGGATCTGGTGGGAGTGGGCGCGCCTGGCCACCTGGATCTGCTGGTTGTGCAGATGGTGGGCTTCTCCGTCTCTGGGCTCCCTGTGTGTCCCCGGTGCTGGCAGACGTATAGCAGGTACCCACAAAGCCAAGCTGGCCTTGCAGCGCTTGGCTCAGTCCGCTCACACCTGCTGAGCAGCTCCTCTGTGCCTGCACTGCCCAGCGCCTGATGGAGGGAACGCTGGCCTCTCGTGACTCTGACACTGACCACCAGTCTTGTCTGATTGCAGTTGGGCCGGTGCACAAACAGCGTGGTCAAGTATGAGCTGATGCGCCCATCCAACAAGGCCCCGCTCCTTGTGCTGTGTGAAGACCACCGGGGCCGCATGGTGAAGCACCAGTGCTGTCCCGGCTGTGGCTACTTCTGCACAGCGGTAAGAGCCCAGTCGGGCGGCCTCTGTGTCCTCCACAGGCTTGCTGTCTGCTCGCTGGTGCTGGTTCCTGTCCTGTGTCCATCTGCTGTCGGGTCGTCCAGCAGCTTGGCCCAGGTCTGGTGCCTGTCTGGAGGTCTCCAGTGTGTCATAAGGCCCTCACCACCGCTCTCGAGCCCCAGTGCCTTAGACACTTTCACCCCCAACTCCCATTTCTCTCCTCCCGCCTGCAAGCCGCTTTTGGAGATGACTAGGACGGTGTGACCTGGACTTCCAGGCTGGAGGGGGGTGAAGGTGTCTAAGGCCCTGGGGCTCGAGAGCAGTGGTGAGGGGCTTGTGACGCACTGAAGACTCCAGGTGGAAGCTGTACTGAGGATGTTCACCCCCCATGACGAGGGTGTACAGAGCACGCAGCTCCCGGCAGAGGCAGCACCACCCTGCTGTGCCCTGGGCTGTTTCTGCTGGCATCTTGGGTCATCAGCGACTTCACTGTCAAACATCTGTGCTCAGCCGGGCCCAGGGCCCCCTGAGAATGGGCTGCTTCCCTACGGAGCTCCCTTGTGTGGGCATCCTTGTGCATGTAGGGTGTGAGTGTGTGTGTGTGTGCGCGCGTGCACACCTATGTGAGCCTCTGCCTGTCAGCGTCTGTCTGTGTGTGTCTGTGTGTGTGTGTATGTTTGGGTGTGAGCTTCAGGCACCCAGAGATGCCCTGCTGCCCCTTTGTGAACCTGGGCCAAGAGCTTCCACTTTTAAGGGCTTTTCTTTGGACTTCACACCTTGCATGTCGTCCCCATCTTCAAACATCGTTTTTTTGCTTCTGCTACATCTGTTTATCTCTGACTTTCTGCAAGAAAATGCTGTTCTTATGGCTGTGTGCCCCTCCCCGAGGCTCACCTGGGTTGCCAAACCACATCTGCTGCACTGCCGGGCACGGGGGCAGCTCCAGCTGCCTGATGCTGTGCCCTGAGGTTCTGTTGTCTGGCCCTGTCCCTATCTGCCCTTCAGAATAGGGGCCTTCTGGGTCCTTCTTTAGGCCTTCTCTTTGTGGGCAGCCTCAGCTTTCCTGGGCCTGGGTGGGTCGGAGGCAGCCAAGTGACCTCTGTCTGGCTTCAGTGTCCTCTCTGTGGGGCGAGAGCACCACGGGAAGCATCGTTCCTCCTTCTTAACGATGCCTGGGGCCAAGACTGGACCCCACCCCGACCCATGGCTCACTCTGCAGACCGCCCAATGTGGGATGCGGTGCCAGTTTAGTAGTACTTTATTTTTCCAAATACTAACCCCAATTAAAACAAAAAATTTTTGTTGTCCTCCCGTTTTTAGGGTAATTTTATGGAGTGTCAGCCCGAGAGCAGCATCTCTCACCGTTTCCACAAAGACTGTGCCTCTCGAGTCAATAACGCCAGCTATTGTCCCCACTGTGGGGAGGAGAGCTCCAAGGCCAAAGAGGTGACGATAGCTAAAGCAGACACCACCTCTACCGTGACACCAGTCCCCGGGCAGGAGAAGGGCTCAGCCCTGGAGGGCAGGGCCGACACCACAACGGGCAGGTACCTGGCACAGGCTCTGGCTGGGCTCTCCAGTCGTTCACCTGAAAAGGTTTCAGTTGTTATTTTAACATTATTGCTTTCTGCTGTTTTTTCCAGAAGTCTCTGAGCTGATACTGATGCTCATGGTGATTTCTGACATTAAGACACTGAAAGTCATTTATTGCCATTTGTACATACGTCACTCTCTTTCAGTTTGGTTATGTAGATCCATTTGCCTGTTTTGAACTGGTTTTCACAGCACCCCCATTGATGTAGCCCTGTGGTGTTTCTGTTGCCGGCACAGTCCTGTTGGTACACAGGCGATAGAGGAGTGGTAGCCGCTGCAGTCTGTGACTGAGTTCTGTGGCATTGAGGTTTGAAGGCCTTAGCTGAAGACAAAAAAAGTATCAAAGAATTAGAAGTATTCATATTAGACAGATATAATTGGCTTCCGAAAGAGTCCAGTAGAAACAGCTGAAAAGTTTTTAGAGCTCAAGAGTCAGTAAGAGGATCTGATAAGAAGAGGTAGAAGCCACTTGCCTTCTTCCTTACCAGAAGTTTCCTACCTGAGAATAAAATTACGAAAGAGATCCTTTCAAAACAGCAACAAAATCTGTTACTACCCAGCAGAACAAAAGAACTTAAATGTGACACTAATATAAACAAAACGAAAACTTCCTTGAAGATTTTTAAAAGAGACTCAAATTGTGGACATGTTAAGGTGATTCCTTCCTATTAACCTGTACATTTAATGCACTTTGAATCAAAATTCCAGTGGGATTTCCTTTTCTTGGGGTGGGCAGTGGACTTGATAGATTCAGCTTGAAGCTCATTCATGAGAGTGATTTTGAACCCGCTGCCTGGAAGTCTAGGAAAAGCTACTCTAGTATTCTCAGGAAATTTGGTTCTGAATCCTGAACCATTGCATCCAGGGACTCAGTGGACAGTAAGCAAATCCGCAACTCTCACTTAGAAAACAGCGCACTGGGGCGGTCAGAGTCGGAACAGGCCATGTTTCATGTTTTCATAAACGTTTCCCCGATTTCCTCCCACTGAAGTGCTGCTGGGCCACCACTCTCGGAGGACGACAAGCTGCAGGGTACAGCCTCCCACATGCCCGACGGCTTTGATCCAACGGGACCTGCTGGGCTCGGGAGGCCAACCCCTGGCCTTTCCCAGGGACCAGGGAAGGAAACCTTGGAGAGTGCCCTCATCGCCCTCGACTCGGAAAAGTAAGACCTGATGTGTGACTGCAGAGATGTCTCGGGGCCTGTTTTAATCTGCACCCCGTGTTTTTCCCCATGGCGTCATTTTAGCACTTTTCAGCTTTTTGATCAATGCTGTTTATTAGAATAATTTGTATATTTTCACACTATTTTGGGAAATCATTGCAAATTACTATTCTCTGCATTATATTAAGAGCAACATGTGACACCTTTGAAGTCCTAAGTGAGGAGGTAGTCTTGGTGAGCTTTGACAGACATTTCCTGGTTGCTGTTGACCCTGAACTGCCCTTAGGTCATGAGAGCAGACACTACTTCTGCTGCCTTGGCACCATTTTCCTCCCAGGCCCCACCACATCTGTGCAATGCAAGGGTCGGGCCAAGGGGCCCTCCAGGCTTTCCTGACAGCTCGCAAAAACCCAACCGCCCTCATCCTCCTCTCAGCATTGCCCCCCCACCGGGAGGCAGACCAGCCCCTCCTCATCCTCATCTCAGCATTGCCCCCCCACCGAGAGGCAGACCAGCCCTCCTCATCCTTCTCTCAGCATTGCCCCCCCACCGGGAGGCAGACCAGCCCTCCTCATCCTTCTCTCAGCATTGCCCCCCCAGGGAGGCAGACCAGACTGTGGCACTGAGGCTTGTGTTGGCCTCCTCCCTGGAGCTCCCCTCTGTCTGCCTCCAGCCTCACCTCTGAGCCTGTTCCTGAAGTGACGGTGCCGTCTGCCGATGCCCACAGACCCTGCTCACTGACCAGACCCCAGACTGTTCCCAACCCCCACTTTCTCCCCCATCCCTTGGTGATTGCGTTAGTCTGCTTTTGTGTCAATATAAAGAAATGCCCAGGGCTGGATAATTTATAAAGAAAAGAGGCTTAATTGGCTCATGGTTCTCCAGACTGTACAGGAGGCATGGTGCTGGCATCTGCTCCTTGGGAGGCCTCAGGAAGCTACAGTCATGGTGGAAGGCAAAGCAGGAGCAGTAGCAAGAGACAGAGAAGGGGAGGCTCCCAGACTCTTAAGTGACCAGATCTTGTGGGAACTGACTGAGCAGGAACTCACTCATCACCAGGGGGAGGGATGACGCGAAGCCATTAATGAGAGATCTGCCTCCAGGATCCAGTCACCTCCTTCCAGGTCTCACCTCCAACACTGGAGGTCACATTTCAACATGAGGTGTGGGAGGGACACAGGTCTAAACCGTATCAGTTATCAGCTTAGTCATCGAGTTAAGGTTTCAAAGCAAAAGTGCCAGTGTTGACAGCTCTCACTGCCCCGGGCATCTTCTGTAGTGCGAGCTGTGCCCTCACTCATGACCACGCTGTGTGGGCTCATCCTGGCTGGGGCTGGTCTTGGCTGTGCTGAGCATAGATGAGGTCCTTGGGGCCCTCCGTGACCCTGTTCCCCTGCATCCTGCGCTGGTTCTGTTGTCGTGTTGTGTAAAGTCCTCACAGTGTATAGCGTTCTCCTGCAGTGACTGGGAAGGCAGTTTCTTGTTCTACAGCTTTTACCATGAGATATCTCAAGACTGGTGGGTTTGCACTTGAGCTTGTGGGGCTGGTGGGTAGACATCCCCTGGGCCTTCCAGCCTTCAGCTTCACGTGTGGGACGCGGAGCCCTATGCTGACCCAACTGTTGTCCTGTGCTTCCCACAGACCCAAGAAGCTTCGCTTCCACCCAAAGCAGCTGTACTTCTCCGCCAGGCAAGGGGAGCTTCAGAAGGTGCTCCTCATGCTGGGTAAGTGCCTTCCTGCCACCCGGGCACACTCGACCAGCCTTGTGGCACTGAAAGAAGCCGAGAGCCGTTGTTACCCCTTCCTCGGAAGGCTGGTCTCATTTTGTTTTTCTGTTTCTGTGTCTCTGAGTTCTCTGATGAGTGCGAAGAGGTTGCCCACTGGTGTTGAGGCTTTTTATGGTATTCATATTCCGTTATGCAGGATGGTAGAACTATTCTTTACGAAGTTCTAATCTTTAAAAAGGAATTAGGAATGCGATTATTAAATCAAGCAGAAACGTAGATTAAGGAAAAGCAAAACTAGGGAGTTGGGGCCCTGCTGAGATGTGTGGTGATGACGGCAGCTGATGTCTCACCTGTGCTGATCACAGCAGCTGTGGTGTGGACAAAGTAGGCTTCGGCTATAGGTATTTTATAACAGGCAAACCGATTGCATTAGATTTCTAATACCCAAAAGCGTGCTTGTTAGATAGAGTAGATAGAGCCTTCCCAGTGATCATCTGGTCTCTGAGCTCACAGCTCTAGGCTTGATTTCTCTGACGTTCAACGTCTCTGGGTTGAAAAGGATGATTAAGAAGCCCTTTACTGGACAGTACGTCAAGTAAAAAGAAGCGAAACCATTTGCTCTTAAAAAAAGGTTTATTTATGTTGACCAGCAGTTTTTTAATCGTTTTCGTCACAGACTTCACATGACAATAAGGTCACCTCACTGCTCCATTGCTCACTGTCCCCTCAGACCTCCTGGGAACTGACCGATGCTCAGGCCTCTGTCCCCGGCCTTGCTTGCTCCCCTAGGGTATGTCTGCCCTGGTCAGCTGCCTCATAGGGCCTGGGGCGGCCGTGGCCAGTACGCATGGAAATATAGAAGGAACCTCAGAGTTTGAGCAGGGCGGTAAAGGGAAGAGCGTGCCTTGCCGAGTTAGTTCTGACAGAGGGACCTGCCTGTGCGATTCCACAGGAGACTAGCACACTCAATTCTCAAGTCCAGAGGATGGTGCTGTGGGCGGGTTGTGGCGTGGCTCGAGGTGGCTGTTTGTGTGGAAGCTGGTCGTTTGTGAGTGCTTGCCAGCCATCGTGACAGTCCTGAGCTGGAGTCTGTGGCTACATCTGAAATCATTAATAAAACTGTGTTTGTTCACAGTGGACGGAATTGACCCCAACTTCAAAATGGAGCACCAGAATAAGCGCTCCCCATTGCACGCTGCGGCGGAGGCTGGACACGTGGACATCTGCCACATGCTGGTTCAGGTTCGGTGGCACGGCGCCCTCCTAGGGCTCTTCACCTGCTCTCCTTTATTTTTATCAAAGCAAAATCATACCACGTTTTTGGTTCTTCCATAGAACTGTATTCTTCCATAGAACTGTGGTTCTTCCATAGAACTGTGAAGCGGACACAGAATCAGCTTTTCTGCCCGAGTCCTGCAGGTGGATCAGTGCTTCCCACTGTTTCTTCCGGCATTTACCGCGGCCTTTGAGAAGAGCATGCTGCTGTTTGGCTGTTTCTTGATTTGCTTTCTTTGGTTTTGGTTTTGGTTCTTCACACTCATGACTTCCCCCTGGGGGAACCAGGCACTCGGAGAGGCACAGACGCCCTTCCTCAGCCCCGTTGACTGGCTCCCATTTTGTTTAGATCAGATCATGTGTGCATTTTCAAGCTGAACCGTGTCATCTACAGGCATGTTGTGTCTGTCGTTAATCAGTGGCTTGTGTTTCTGTTGGTTGAGTTGACTCTGCCTCCTGCTAATTTATTCTGAACCATCTGAACACTGCCTGCTTTCTCTGGGTTCAGACACACAACTCAGTTTGTCCCCCTGTGACGTCCCTTCCCTGATGCCCGTGCTGGGTCTCCTGTTTCTCAGATGCCAGGTTTGAGTCTGGTGCGGTCTGACTTCTGATCCTTTGCATGTGACCTATTATTTGGAAACTTGAGGAACTTTCCTTGAACCCCACTGGTCTGAAGTTGCACCTTGTTGTAACATGGGTCTTTTTAGATCCACTGGGGCATTTGGTGCATGTGCTGTGCCCTTTCAGTGCAGAAATCCACACCTGTCAGTTCCAGGAGGATTTCCTGTGTGACTTCTGTGCCCGGGTCCTCTACCTGTCTCAGCTCTGTCCTGGGGCTCTCGTAACTCAGGCGTGGAACCTTCTGGACCAATTTTATGCCGTGGTCTGTTTTCTTGTCTTTTGGTTCTGCCTTCTAGGCAGCATTCTCACCTTTAGCTTCGAGCTCCTGGGGGATTTTTAACGTGTGTGGTCACATTTTCAAATCCCAAGAATTCCTTTCTGCTCTCGGATAGTTCCTCTTTCAGTAGGCTCTTGTTCTTCCCTTAGTTCTCTGTTGATATTATGGTTATAAGTTTTATGCTGCTCTGTTTTAGTTTTTTTATCTAAAGGTTTTCCTCAAATGCCCAGTGATTCCTGTTTATATTTAAAGTAAACTACTAAAAAGCCGGTGGTAGCTCTTGCTTGCCGAGGGCTGTCAGCTGCAGGGTGATCTGCAGGCCTGGCTGTTTTGTTGGGGCCCCTGGGCCCCACTGTCTGGGATGGACCTGTCCCCTCAGACCGCACCTGTCTCTGCCTTTCTTAGGGCCAGGAAGGAGAGAGTGACGGGGCGCGCCGTCTGCTGTGCTCACACCCACCTGCTGTGCAGCTGCCTCAGTCTGTCCCCCATTTCCGGAGTCGTAACTGATGGTGTTTTGTTACTATTTATCTGGAATGATTTTTCCCTCCTTTTTTTCTGACCTTTTCCCCTCGTTTTTGGCTATATGTGTTTTAAACATAGAACTTGATTTTTATAAATTTAGTCTAACCATGTTGGTATTTTAATAGGAACTTTTAGTCCTTTATACGTAATGTCTTATATTGTAGTTTTAATTTCTAGCTGTCTCAGTCCATTTTCTCTTGCTGTAACAGAATACTTGAGACCGAGTCATTTGTAAAGAAAATAAATTTGGCCGGGCGCGGTGGCTCAAGCCTGTAATCCCAGCACTTTGGGAGGCCGAGACGGGCGGATCACGAGGTCAGGAGATCAAGACCATCCTGGCTAACATGGTGAAACCCCGTCTCTACTAAAAATACAAAAAACTAGCCGGGCGAGGTGGCGGGCGCCTGTAGTCCCAGCTACTCGGGAGGCTGAGGCAGGAGAATGGTGTAAACCCGGGAGGCGGAGCTTGCAGTGAGCTGAGATCCGGCCACTGCAGTCCAGCCCGGGATACAGAGCAAGACTCCGTCTCAAAAAAAAAAAAAAAAAAAAAAAAGAAAATAAATTTATTTCTCACAGTTCTGTAGGCTGGGAAGCCCAAGGTCGAGGGGCTGCCTCTGGTGACTTCTGGTGAGGCCCTTGAGCTGTGCCTGAACACAGCCAGGAACCCGCCAAGAGGGAGACGCTCCAGCACAGCCTTGCTGCGGACCAGGCTGCCCACACGGGAGCAGGTCCATTCCTGGGGGCTGACCCTGCCTTTCAGAAAGGCGTGGTTCCATCTTCGCAGCCTCATCGCCTCTTAAAGGCCTGGCCTCCCAACCTCATTGGGGCCCCCAACCTCAATAAATAAATCGCCTTCAGACCAGAGTGCCAGCCTTTTGAAGCCAGTACTTTTTGGTCGTTCTTCTTGCTGTCTTTTGAATTGATTTTTATTTTGATTGTGCCATTTCTCTTCTCTCTGTTAGTCTGGAAGTTACAAACTTTCCACTTTTTGCCCCAGTAGTTCCTCTCAGTCTCACTTGCAGACTTGACCTACCAAGGTCAGGACTGAATGAGATGGAGATGGGGGAGCCAAGCCTCAGCAGGGGGTGAGGGAGGGAGCAGCTGAGGTGAACTGGGGTCCAGTAAGCCAGCGGTTGGTGGGGGGCTCCTGGAGGCTGAGAGGAAAGTGTGTTGTGAGATGGGCTGAGCTGAGGTAGGCACTGGGGCCAGCTCCGTGCAGGAGGAGCTGCGGAGGTTGCTCGGTATGTCAGGGAGAAGCAGGAAAGGATTCAGAGGCACTGGGGTGGCCTCGAGACGAGTCACGTGGGCCGTGTTTCATGGTGAGACCATGAGGGAAGTGGCTGACCTGGTGGGAACAGGCTTATGGGGGGGGTGAGGTCTGGGGCAGCCGGGGACAGGGAGTGGGGGGTGGTCTTCTGGACACAGGCAGAGCTGGAACGAGGGGTGGGCTGTTCAGGGCAGGAGTGATGCCAGGACATTCATAGTTGGGGCTCTGAGAAAGAGGAAGAGAGCATGGTCTGGAAGAGGCAGGAGCTGGTGGTGTGGGGCTCGAGAGCAGATGCCGGTGGAGGGCCAGGCATTCGGCTGGGAGGCCCGCTCCTCTCCTGGGAGGCCTTGTGAGGGGTGTGGCGTGATTCTGTTCTGTTGCGGATGGACCTGAATGGGGACAAGTGTGCAGAGCTATGTGGGGGAACGGGCCCACGGGAACAAGGGCTCTATGAGCGCTGCCCCGATGGCCCCAGGAGCTGGGCGAGGCCATGAATGTGGGCCGTGCTGGGCCCGTGAGGGTGGGGCGTGCTGAGCCTGTTCACCATGCCCACCGCTGGCTGTGGAGGCTTCTTGAAGACATTCCTCCTGTGCCTGGAATTCCAGGTTGCTGGTGGTTTTCCTCAGGTCATGTAAGGAATGATGCCACTGTCTTCCTCTTGAGAAATTAGCTTCTCACTCCTTTAAAAGACACTGGTGTTCTCTTTGACTTTCTTTTTTAAACATTAAAAAATTAAAAATATATATATGGTTGCATCATGCATACAGAAAAGTCCTTAAAATGTAAACATATGGTTAACAAATCATTCTCCTATGGCCCTGGCATTCCTGCCCCCGTGAGACACAGTGTTGCTGGCTCCCTGGACAGCCGGTGGACACCTGAGTGCCCTCCCCGGAACAGCAGCTGTTTTGGTCTCACTGCCCCGCACGTGCCTCGCGCAGTAGGGTTCTGTTTGTTTGCGTTTAACCTTTATGCTGAGTTGTCTAGCGTGAGTTCCTTTTTTATCTGCTTCCGTCAGTCAGGAAAACAGGGGAGTGTAGAAACAGGACATGACCGTGGGGCTGAGTGGCCTAGCCCTGCCGGGGCTCCCTGCTGACTGCCTGTGCTCTGTGCTTGCCTGAAACTCACCTTTGGGGAGGCTGCGTGAGGAGCACAGAGCTCTTCGTTCTGTTTTATAGTTTCTTGTGAGTTTAGTGCTGTGAAATAAAATGATGTATTGGGAGGAAATCGAATCGTTATATCCCTTGGTGCTGCTGTTCATCCAGTGCCCGGGGTCTGACCAGCCTGGAACCACTTCAGATTAAATTCCTAGCCTGATGTTTAATTTGATGACCCGCCCTGCACAACTTACTGTTGCTGATCTTAGAGGGATTTCTATTTTTTCTTCCCCTTAGAATCTAAGCGGTTTTCCTGATATTCTCCACGGAGAGAGCGATTGGCTTTATCTCTAGTTTGCCCTGAATCCAAGGGTGCTGTTTCCCAGGGGTTCAGCATTTGCAGGGGTGTCTCACATCTCACACCCACTCTTTGGGCAGGCTCTGGCCACACCAGTGAGGGCCTGTGGCGTCCTCTCCCTCAGGCTCCGGTCTTGGCCGCGTGGCGTCCTCTCCCTCAGGCTCCGGTCTTGGCCACGTGGTGTCGTCTCCCTCAGGCTCCGGTCTTGGCCACGTGGTGTCGTCTCCCTCAGGCTCCGGTCTTGGCCACGTGGCGTCATCTCCCTCAGGCTCCGGTCTTGGCCATGTGGCGTCATCTCCCTCAGGCTCCGGTCTTGGCCACGTGGTGTCATCTCCCTCAGGCTCCGGTCTTGGCCATGTGGTGTCATCTCCCTCAGGCTCCGGTCTTGGCCGCGTGGCGTCATCTCCCTCAGGCTCTGGTCTTGGCCGGATGGCGTCATCTCTCCTGGGCTCTGGTCTCAGTCACGTCTTTGAGCCAGGTTTCCTGCAGCAGCACAAGAGAGGGGTTTGTGTTCACCCTGCGAGAGAGTCCCCTGGAACCAGAGGGGTTCATGCTCACCCATCCCTTCAAAAGGTCCCCTAGAACCAGAGGTCCCACTTGGCTTGAGTCTCCCCAGGGCTCCCTGCCCCCACTGCAGCACAGTCACTCGGCCATGTGTGGCTGTGTGTTAAAAGTGAAGATGCGGCCGGGCGCGGTGGCTCATGCCTGTAATCCCTGCACTTTGGGAGGCTGAGGCGGGCGGATCACGAGGTCAGGAGATCAAGACCATCCTGGCTAACACGGTGAAACCTCGTCTCTAGTAAAGATACAAAAAATTAGCTGGGTGCGGTGGCAGTGCCTGTAGTCCCAGCTACTCGGGAGGCTGAGGCAGGAGAATGGCGGGAACCCAGAAGGCGCAGCTTGCAGAGTGCTCAGATCGCGCCATTGCAATATAGCCTGGGCAACGGAGCGAGACTCTGTCTCAAAAAAAAAAAAAAAAAAGTGAAGATACACCCTCAGTCACATGAGCTGTGCTTGGAGGGCTCAGTAGCCGTGTCGCCAGGGGCCGCTGCCTTGAGCGCAGACAAGAGAAATCCATCGTGCAGAAAGCGCTTCACTGGCAGCCGACCTGGAGTCCACCCCAGCCTTTTGCCCGTGCTGGGGGCGTCCGTGTTCTGGCTCCCAGACTGGGGAGGGGCTCTGAGGGTCAGTCACGGAGCCTCCTAGGTGTCCGAGCTGCCTCCAGCGCCCCGGGGCCTTTTCCCCACTGACTTGATCTATGTTTTTGAGCCTGTGGAGGCCGGAGCTGTGCCTCCATCTGCTGCGGCTCCGGGGGCTGCTGCCCTCGCATCTGCTGCCTTTGGTGTCCCGGTCCCTCGTGCTGTCGGGTCTCATGCTGTGTGTGCGGTTTCTGGAGAGTGCTGAGCGAGGCACCACATGCTCCCGCCCGAAGTCACCACAGACACTCATGTTTTCATCTGTCTGCTCTTCCGTCATCTCTCATTAAAAAAAAATGTTGTAAGCTCCTTTACTGTTATCTCCCCCACGCCCCTACCAAGACCATGTAGGGTCCAGTCTTGATTCCCTGACCCCTTTTCCTGAAAAGGCGCTACCTCCTTCCCAGGCTGCATCTACCACTCGGTGACAGCTGGTGATGGATGGATGGGTGGTGGGCTGAGAAGAGGGGACTGGGAAGGGCTATTCCAGGCTCAGCCCTGCCCCCCACAGCCTTGGTGACTCACCAGGACCAGGCTTGTGCCAACTGGGCCACAGCCACACCACACGTGGGGTAGTCCAGTAAACACTGTGGACTCCCAGCAAGGCTGCTGCCTGGTGTTTCGAGGCTGCTGGGGTCGCAGACACCCGCCTGGCCTTGGCTCCCTGTCAACAAGCTGGGGGTGGGCGCGGGAGGGAGGAGCAGCCCCTGTCCTAGGAGCCTCACAGGAGAGCAGCCAGCCTGGGCCAGGGGCCGCCAGGTCCCGAGGGTGACTGACCCAAACATCATAGATGCTTTCGTTGGGTGGCACCCCCTGGAAGAGGGCGTCTAGATCCCAGAGCAGCACTGGGGGCCCTTGGGTTTCAGGGGCCACCCCCCAGTAGGCAGGGCTGGTTGACGGTGGCCATTGGGGATAGGAGGTGGGTGGGGGTGCCAGGGTCATTACCACATTGGGAGTGTAGATAGGCAAGTAGCAGGTGGACAGCTGCCCACAGAGGGAGGCCCTGTGTCCCCCGCTGGACAGCCCCCCAGGAACTGAGGTGCCCTGCAGTAGGTGGAGAGGCCAGGCCCTAGGCTCTGGGGAGAGGGTCGAGGGCCCGATGTCTCCCCCTGCACAGTCTCCCTTCCACTCTCGGGCCAGGAAGGGGGCAGAGGGGCCACAGAGGCCTCTCAGAGAAGGGCGGGGGTGGGGTGGGCACTGCCTTCTCCCCACTGAACCCCATGCCTGCCTGCAGAAGCTGGACTGCTCTGTGGCACCAGCCCTGGCCGGGATGCCCCTTCCCACAGTCCCCTAGCAGGGACTGGATGCTGAAGCAATTGCTGGGTGGTGGCAGATGACTGAGCGACTGGTAGAGCCGGCCATGCAACACGCAGGGGGGCCCAGGGCATTGGCGAAGGCTTCACCTGCACCCGCTTCTGCCAGTGCCTCAGCCGGGATGAGGCTCATGCAGGTGTAGGGAGGTTGCAGATGTAGGGGTCTTGTAGGTGAAGGGAGGTTGCGGGTGTAGGGAGGTTGCGGGTGTAGGGAGGTTGCGGGTGTAGAGTTGCGGTGTAAAGGGAGTTGCGGGTTTAGGAGGTTGCAGGTGTAGGGAGGTTGCAGGTGTAGGGAGGTTGAGGTTTGGGAGGTTGCAGGTGTGGGAGGTTGCAGGTGTGGGGAGTTGCGGAGTTTAGGGAGGGATTGCGCGGGTTTAGGGAGGTTGCGGGTGTGGGGAGGTTGCGGGTGTGGGGAGGTTGCGGGTGTGGGGAGGTTGCGGGTGTGGGGAGGTTGCGGGTGTGGGGAGGTTGCGGGTGTGGGGAGGTTGCGGGTGTGGGGAGATTTACCCAAGTGTAGGGGCCTTGCAGGTGTGAGGATTGCCTGCCTGCAGGTGTCTCTTCCCCCTCGAGGGACTGGGAGAGCCACTGCGCCTCCTGGGCTGCAGGCCCGGGAGTTGCCCCCCTCGGGGACTGGGAGAGCCACTGCGCCTCCTGGGCTGCAGGCGGGAGTTGCTGCGGGCCCAATGCCTGGGAGGCGGACCACGATGGGTAGCCGTTGGGGGGGCGTGCGCGCGAGCCTGGGAAGGGCGCGGTCCGTCAGAGCCTCGCGGAGGGTGAGCGGCCCTTTCGGCCTTGGAGCCCCAGACTGTGTGGGACTTGGTCAGTGCCAGCCGCTCCGCTTGCAGTGAGGGTTTGGGGAGCGCGTGGGAGGCGGGTCCTGCTCCGCGTCTGTGTGGGGTCCAGAATGGAGCTGGATGTGGGGCGGGACCTGTTTCTTGGCACTGGCAGGTCTGTCTGGACACCGTTGGCCACCGCGGGGGTCTCGCTTTGACTCTTCCTTTTCTCCGCTGCTTCTCTCCACTCTTAGAGCTTTCTTGGACTTTGTCTCAGTGTCCCGTGTTTTCATGGGCGGGGTCATTTCCTTCTGCTTACCCGGGTCCTGGGTGCGGTGCGGGTCTGTGAAGGCTCAGCGCTGGGGAGCTGGCAGGCTCCCGTATCCTATGGGCCGCCGTAGCCAAGCCCTCCTTCCTGGGAAAGGACCCCCATCCTCCCCTATGCTCCGCCCGAAGCCGTCAGCCCCTCCTGCCCTTGCAGACTCCGGTCTGTCTGCGCTGCCGCCTGCGCTGCCGGCCTGGTGCTGGTGCAGGGGCTTTCGGTGCCAGCCTCTCCCTTGAGGGCGCACCTTTTCTTCTTTCACCAGGATTTTTTGGGAGCTGGAGGAGCAGCCTCTGTGTGCTGAGGGAGGCAGAGCCACAGCTCCTCTGCACAGCACAGGCCTCGCTCTCTACCTTGTTTTGTGTTTTTTCAAGCTTACTGCTTGTTAAAAATTAGCTGCTGTAGACTTCTGGCGCTACTTTACCTTCAGGTCTGGCAGCCGGACCTTGGCTTTGAGCTTTGGTGTTTGAGGTCAGCCTTGCATCACTGCCCCCGCTGTGCGCCTCTAGGCCGCAGCCCTTTGACCTCTGACCCTTGCTCTGTGGACCCTGTATTCTCTTCGGTGAAGCCCAGCCCGTTCCAGTCAGAGTCCCCTGGGCCTCTCACTGCCCCTCTGTTTTGTGTGTTTTTTTAAAACAGAGTTCACTCATGTTGCTCAGGCTGGAGTGCAGTGGTGCGATCTTGGCTCACTGCAACCTCTGCCTCCCGGGTTCAAGCAACTCTCCTGCCTCAGCCTGTCAGGTAGCTGGGATTACAGGCGCCCGCCACATGCCCGGCTAATTTTTGTATCTTTAGTAGAGACGGGCTTTCACCATGTTGGCCAGGCTGCTCTCAAACGCCTGACCTCAGGTGATCCACTTGCCTTGGCCTCCCAAAGTGCTGGGATGACAGGCGTGAGCCGCCGCGCCTGGCCTCTGGTCCTCTTAGCCTTTACGAATTAGCCTCATTTTCCATATAGACCATTCTAGGGCTGTTTAAACATTCCTTATTGAATTGTGCTACTTTTGATTTTTAATTACTAATAGTAAAAATAATACTATTTTCAACCTTTTTTCATAATAAATGTTTATTTTATAAATGAAATACTAGGTTTTTGTCATCTAAGAAGGTTTTCCTCATGGAGAAGAGGTTTCAACAGCCCAACAGCTGATTTGCTTTTAGCACACAACCAATTTTAAAGTTGGGGGCTTCTTAAGTTTCACACCAAGAAAAATTTACCTGTGTATACCTGCCGTTAATTGGTCTTTCAGTCTATGTATACCTGCCATTAATTGGTCTTTCAGTCTATGTATACCTGCCAGTTAATTGGTCTTTCACCCTATGTATACCTGCCAGTTAATTGGTCTTTCCCGTTTCTCTGTTTATTCGGAAAAATGGAAACTGTTCTGGAATGCATGCTACTGGAAATCAGGATTTTCCATTTATTTTGGCGAGTACTAAATCAGTGAGAGGGTGCTGTGTGTCCTGGCGGGGTGAACCGGCACCTCCCTCCTGCCTCCTCTCTGCTTAGGGGCCCCTCCCTCCCCTTCTTTGTCTGCTTCAGAAGGTTGTCACCATCCTCCTCATTTCTAAAGGTGTTGTCACACTCCTGTGCTATAAACATTTTCTATCAAATTACCTTAGAAGTGGAATGAAATCTAGCAGAAATATTCTGCTTAAAGGTTTGATACTAATAGAATAATTATGTCTTTGAATACATGTTTAGAAAACTCAGACATTGTTGGTCACCGAAACAGTACAGCTCTCTTTTTTTGAGTGTAGAAGCTTGTCAGTCACTTCTCCCCAGGCGGTGGTTACCGTCACAGCCCTCCCATACACCTGAACTGTTGTTTCACTAGGCGGGCGCTAATATTGACACCTGCTCAGAAGACCAGAGAACCCCGTTGATGGAAGCAGCCGAAAACAACCATCTGGAAGCAGTGAAGTACCTCATCAAGGCCGGGGCCCTGGTGGATCCCAAGGTATGTTCATCTGTCAGAATCACCCTCCTAGTGTGTGTGTAGACGTTTCTCAGAAAGCTGAGCAAGGGACATCCTTACATCTCCAGGACTTGAGGCCTTCACACACTGACCCAGTTGTCCAGAAATAGTTCCTTCATCTCACTTTGGTTACCCGGTTTATTATTAAAAACCACTAGTGAGCGCTCACGCTCTATAGAGCCTGATAACAGACAGGGGTGCTAATGAGGGGTTTGCTGTGCGGAAGGTGTTTGCCTTACAGTACATCGTCTCACTGTGTCTTCAGCCCAGAGCAATTAGGCAAGAAAAAGAAATCAAAGGCGTTCACATTGGAAAGGAAGAAGTAAAATTGCCTCTGTTCACAGATGACATGTTCTTATATGTAGAAAGCCCTAAAGAATATACAAAAATATTGTTAGCTAATAAAACCAATTCAGCAAAATAGGATAAAAAATTAACAAGAAAAATCAATTGCATTTCTATATCCTTCAAATGAAGTATTCAAAAAAGAAATTAAGAAAAGTTTCATTTACAGTAACATCAAAAAGAATAAAATACTTAGGAGTAAGTTTAACCAAGAAGACAAAAGACTCGTAATTGTTAGTTGAAAACTAACAAACGTTGCTGAAAGAAATTAAAGAAGACCTGAATAAAGAGAAGGACATCCCATGTTCACAGATGAGAAGACTGAATGTGGTTAAAATGGCTGTAGTGTCCGTGGAGTCCTTACTAAAATCCTAACAGCTTTTTTGTTTTTTTGAGACAGTCTTGCTCTGTCACCCAGGTTGGAGTACAGTGGTGTGATCTCGGCCCACTGCATCCTCCACTTCCCAGGTTCAAGCAATTCTCCTGCCTCAGCCTCGCTAGTAGCTGGGATTACAGGCACGCGCCACCATGCCTGGCTAATTTTTGGTACTTTTAGTAGAGACGGGGTTTCACCATGTTGGCCTGGCTGGTCTCAAACTCCTGACCTTGAGTGATCCGCCCGCCTCGGCCTCCCATGGTGGTGGGATTATGAGTTGTGAGCCACCGTGCCCGGCGCTAACAGCTTTTTTTTTTTACAGATACAAAAAAACTCTAAAGTTTCTACAGAGTCTCAAGAGACCCAGAGAAGCCAAACAATTTTGAAAAAGTTGGAGAGCTCACACTTGCTGATTTCAAAACTTACTATATACGGCCACAGTAGTGAAAACAGTGTGGGACTGGCATAAAAGCAGAAATAGAGACCAATGGAATAAAATAAAAAGCCCAGAAATAAACCATTGCATATATGGTCACTGATTTTTGGCAAAGTTACAAAGACCATTCAATGGGGAAAAGATTCTCTTTTCAACAGATGGTGCTGAGACAGCTGGATGTCCACATCCAGAAGCGTGAGTTTGGATCCTCACCTAACACTCTCTTCAAAAATTAATGGAAAATGCAGCTGGGCGTGGTGGCTCACGCCTGTAATCCCAGCACGTTGGGAGGCCGAGGCAGGTGGATCACCTGAGGTCAGGAACTCAAGACCAGTCTGTCCAACACTGTGAAACCCCGTCTACTAAAAATACAAAAATTAGTCGGGTGTGGTAACGGGTGCCTATAATCCCAGCTACCTAGGAGGCTGAGGTAGGAGAATCGATTGAACCCGGAGGCGGAGGTTGCAGTGAGCCGAGATCACGCCACTGCACTCCAACCTGGGTGACAAGATTGAAACTCTGTTTAAAAAAGAAAATGGAAAATGGATATGGATGAAAGGCCCGTACTTAAGAGCTAAAACCAGAACACTCTTGAAAAAAGACATGAGGGGAAAGCTTTATGACATTGGATTTGATGACGATTTCTTGGATACTCTACAAAAGCATAATCAAAGAAATAGATAAACGTGATTAAAATTAAAAACATTTGGCTCTGGGAAATGATGTGCAGCCGGAAAGGCAGCCACCCCCTCGCCCATCACGCAGCGCACGTTTGCAGGGAACCTGGCACTAAACCGTCTGTAGGTGACCTGCGTCTGTGTTGGGGTTTCATGTGTGGCAGAGCAGCTCCCTCACTGCGATCTGTTGAAAGTCAGCCCCCGACACAAGGGTTTATAAAGATAATAAAAGATTTTAAAGTGGAGAAAAATAAACTTTTGTACATCAAAGATTACTACCAACGGAGTGAAAATACCACCTACAGAATGAGGAAATGTATTTGCAAATTCTCTGATAAGAGATTTTTATGCAGAATATATAAAGAGGTTGTACATCTCAACAACAGAAAATTAAACAACCAGTTCAGAAATGGGCAAAGAAAGGGCTTAAATAGCCGTCTCTCTAAGGAAAGCCCCCAAGGGCCAGTTCCCACATGAAAAGGTGTCCAGCGTCACCAGCCACCAGGGAAGCCAACTCAGAGCTATGGTGAGACGCACCTCAGAGGATGTGGCAGTGTCGGGACTCCCACGCATTGCTGGTGGGGATGTAAACGCTGCAGCCATTGTGGAAGCCAGTGGTGGTTCCTCAGGTTGCTAAGCATAGGATGACCCTCTGGTCTGCAGCAACTCCACTCCTGAGAGCGTGCCCCCGACATGAAAACCAGGACCACAGACAGATCTTCATACAACATGGTTCCTGCCGCATTGTTCACAGTAGCTGAAGGACAGAAACAACCCAGATGTCTCAGCAGATGCCTGCGTCAGCGCGTTTGGTCCATCCACACGATGGGATGTTACTCAGTCATAGAATGAAATTCTGACATATGAACAGCACAGATGGACCTTGAGGACATTCTGCTGCAGGAAAGAAGCCAGACCCAAGGACAAATCCTGTACGACGTGACCGATAGATAGAAGTCATCTAGAGTAGCGGGATTCATGGAGACAGAAAGTAGACTGGCGATTCCATGGGGCTGGGGAATGGTGTTTTGCCTCATGATTGTAGAGCTTTGTTTTGGGGTAATAAAAAAGCTTTGGAAATAGTGGTGATTGTGAATGTGTTTAATGCCACAAAACTGCACAAAATGTTTAAAATGGCAAATTTTGTTATATATTATAACCACATTTAAATTCTTAGTCTTTCATACTAATACACATTTTTTCCACCAAAAAAGTGATCACACTCCTCATAGTAGTTCAACTCCTGCCTCATATCACATTAAACTTTGTTTTCTGTTATTAAATATTATTCTGTGAAACATTACCTAAATGACTATCCATTTATGATACAATTTTATCATTAGTCAAATTTGAATATTTAATATTTATCTTACTTTCAATTTTTATTATAAACAGTGCTTCAGGAAACATTTTTGTAGTTAAATATTTGCACATTTGGCTTCTTTAGGACAGATTTCTGGCAGTAGAATTGCTAGATCAAAATAGGTAAACAATTGGGCAGGTTCAGTGGCTTGCTTCTGTAATGCTAGTGCTTTGGGAGGCTGAGGCAGAAGGATGGCTTGAGGTGAGGAGTTTGAGATCAGCCTGGACAACACAGGTGAGACCCCATCTTGATAAGAAATGAAAAATTAGCTGGGCGTGGTGGCATGTGCCTGTAGTCATAGCGCCTTGGGAGGCTGAGGCAGGAGCATCGCTTGAGCCCAGGAGTTTGAGGCTACAGTGAGCTGGATTAGCGCCACTGCACTCTAGCCTGGGTGCCAGAGTGAAACCCCATCTCTAAGAAAAAAAAGCTAGAGAAAAACAGCACACGACATCTAGACAGACAACGTCATGAAATATCGCTGACTTCTTATCTGAAACCATGGAGGCAGTTTTTATTGTGCTGAAAGAAGCAAAGCCAAAAAAATGTGACCCCAGAATCCTACCTCCAGTAAAAGTGTCCTTCGGAGAATGGTGGTGAAATCAAACATGTTCGGGTAAAAACAGCAAAAGGCAGATAAGCTTGCTTGGAATCCTGAAGCTTCCAGGAGGAAAACTTAGCCCTTTGGGAATGAATGAGGAACCCTGGATGGTGGATATGAAGACATTTTTCATATTTGAATTTCCTAAATGTGAGAGGTCATTTAAACTCCAATAATGTCATAAGGTGGAGTTTATACACGTTTGGAAGCACAGTAAGTCTTCACTCAACACTGTTGACAGGTCCTTAGAACATGTGACTTCTTCAAGCGTTGACACCAATTTACCACAGACTGATCTAAACAAGAGCAAAGTTCTTGTGCCATATTCCTGGTCACAAAAACATTAGCAAGCTTCTAAATCAAGACCAAGGTATTTCTAACATTAAACACTGAAATACATGTGAGCTGTACAGACATTTAAGAAAGATTAATACAGACAAGATAAATGTTTATCCAGTTATTCCAGGTCAGGGTTGTGAGTGGACAGAGCCTGTCCTGGCAACTCAGGTCACCTGGCGGGAAGCAGCCTGGGCCAGAGGAAACCCACACAGACACGGGGAGGAGCTGCAAACTCCACAGACAGTGGCCCGGCTGGGAATGGTTTTTGTTTGTTTGTTTACTTTTAACCTCATCAATGTTATAACAAAACAATGCTGAGTGAAACGATACTATTGAAGACCTGCTGTGAAATACAGGATAGTAAGTACCCAAAGGAGGGCAGTGTGAAAGTGGAATCCCACTGTTGTGAAGGTATTTTATTGTGGGAGGTGGTACAATATTAATTTAAGAAGACCAATAAAGACGAATATTGTAATCCCCGGAGAAAGTACCAAGAAAATAAAACAAATATAGCTTTTCAGGAAAAAAAACTAGTAGAGGAAATAAAATGTAATACTGAAAAATTGTGCAACTAAAATGCAGGAATAAAACCGTATGGGACAAATAGAAAACAAATAGCAGAGTGATGGACTCCAGCCTCACCCTGTCAGTAGTTACGCTGCAGACTCACTGTCGTCTTAAAAGGCAGAGGTTTGTCTGATGACATAGAAAGCTAGAACCAGCCGTGCCTTCCTGCAGTGCTCCTGCTTCCAACGCAAAGACCCCAGCCAGGCTGGAGAGACTGGAGAAGTGCACATGCGCGTGGCAAGCAGGTGACTCCCAGGCGCGGCAAATTACGAAGCCTGGAAGACCACAGAGGCCGTCTTTGTGATTCCAGCACAGGGAAGCGTCTTCTAAGACACAAAAAGCACAAAAATGACAAAGTTAAGTGCATTAAAATTTAAGAATTTCTCTTCAAAAAGATGCCACAAAGGACATGAACAGACAGTCTAAACACTGGGGGAAGATTTTGCAATGCACTGGCCAAAGATTAATATCCAAAAATATAAAGAACTACAAATGAGGCCAGGCGCGGTGGCTCACGCCTGTAATCCCAGCACTTTGGGAGGCTGAGGTGAGTGAATCACGAGGTCGGGAGATGGAGACCACCCTGGCTAACATGGTGAAGCCCCGTCTCTACTAGAAATGCAAAAAATTAGCTGGGCATGGTGGCGGGCACCTGTAGCCCCAGCTACTAGGGAGGCTGAGGCAGGAGAATGGCCTGAGCCCCGGAGGCAGATTTTGCAGTGAGCTGAGATCATGCCACTGCACTCCAGCCTGGGCGACAGAGCGAGACTCTGTCTCAAAAAAAATAAATAAATAAAAAAATAAAGAACTACAAATGAAATTAAACCACACAGAAAAATGGGCAAAGAACATAAGTGTGCAGTTCCCAGAAGAGGAAATACATGCATATGACCAACAAGCAGGTGAAAACACAGGACTGAGGGGCCACCTTAAACAGTCACTGAATTCCATACAAACGTAACGCGTAGAAAAGACTGGCAGGGGCAGGACATAGAGCAGCAGGCAGGGTCCTTACCTTTGAGGTGCGGGGACTGCAGGCTGCCCGGTGAGCAGGGCCTCACATCGGTAGGGTCTGTGATGTGTCTGCAGATGATATACACTGTGATCTAGAGAATTTAAAAGGGTGTAAAAACATCATTTGTGGATATACATAGTAAAGGTATCGAGATCCATGGGCACGATGAGTAACGATTTCAGGATAGTGATGACCTCTAGGGAGGAGGCAGGAGAAGAAACCAGACCGGCGCTGTGTGGGGTGTCCCTTGGGTGGGGGTGGGTTCCAGTGTCTTGAGCTTCTGTTTGTGTGCCTGCAGACCTCACAGCTAGCCACTGTCACTGAACCCAACAGAAACCTTTCCTTATCGGCAGCCCCGCTCCTTGCCACCTTCATGTCTGTTCCCACGGGGTTCCCTTGGCTGACTCTCAATCCTGTCAACCCCCACTCTGCTGCTCCCAGCCCTGCCCAGTGTCTCGCTCTCGTGACAGCTGGCCTCCTTCACTAAGCTCCCTTTGCTGGTGTCTCTTACCTGCCTGATTCGGAAATGCTTGCCCAGGGTCTCTGCCAGGTGCACCTGCTTCTGTCCTGAACGCTGTGGCAGTCTTCCAGCAGTTAGGGGATTGTCAGCTGCACTATTCCAGCGATTAAAGACACTTGAAAATGAAGGCAGACCTTTTAACAACCATGCACTGTTTTGTATTCATGATAAAATTACAGTTTTGAACACCAGCCGTGTGGGAATCGGGTGTGCTGGCTTTCCTTGAGGAAGGTGAGCATGCTGATTTAGCACCAGCTGGGTGAGCAGTGTGTGCAGTGGTGCCTGTGAAACTCTAGGACTGCTGCACTGACTCCACCGAGATAAGGGGAGAAAGGTAATGAAGGAACGTGGTTACACGGAGACAGGAACAGGGGAGTAAAGCAAAGCACACTCCTAAGGGAGAAGGTGGTGGGGCACGTCCGCGGGCCTGTGCGAGGAGCCCGTGTAAGGCGCGTGGATGGCGCTGGGTGCGGTGGCACCGGCTCCCCCGCCTCTTCTGGAGCTTCCTGGGTCTGACCTCCAACCTTGCATGTCTTTTTTTTCCTTTGAGATGGTTTGATCAGTGTGATCTATTTTGTCTCCTCGGGGAAACAGAGCTGAAAGGAAATGAGAAGGTGTTCCCAAGCTGGGCATGGTGGCTCACGCCTGTAATCCCAGTTATGATGCCTGTGACTCCCCGACCAAGGTGGGAGGATTGCTTGGGGCCGGGAGTTCAGAAATAGCCTAGGCAGTATAGCAAGACCCTGTCTCTAGAAAAGAAAAAAAATACATTAGCCAGGCATGGCGGTGCACACCTGTAGTCCCAGCTACGTGGGAGGCTGAGGCAGGAGGATCACTTGGGCATGGGAGTCAGAGGCTGCAGTGAGCTGTGATCGCACCACTGCACTCCAGCCTGGGCAATACAGCAAGACCCTGTCTCAAAAAGGAGAAAAAGAAAAAAAAAAAGTCATGCCCAGAAGTAAAGGAAGCAAGAGGAGGGGCAGAGCCTATGGCGTTTCTGGGGCCACGGGGTGGGCCTGGTCCTCTTTGTGTCCTACTTTTTGCCATCTATTATTTTAAGTTCTGTGGTACATGGACAACTATCACTGAATCATTCACACTGTCTTCACTGTGCCAGGCGACCGGCCACTCACGGGGCCACAGGGGGCCACACACAGCGCTCGGACCTCGGCTGTTTCCTTGGGAAATGGCCCCGTGGCCTCAGCCTGGGTCTCCTTGTCATTTGAGCAGGACAGGACCCCACCCCCATGGTGGGCACCAGGTTCTCCTGGATCCCATGCTCAGGGCTGGCACACCAGGATCACAGGTGTGGATTCCTGACTAAGCGGTGTTTCTGTTGCAGGACGCAGAGGGCTCTACGTGTTTGCACCTGGCTGCCAAGAAAGGCCACTACGAAGTGGTCCAGTACCTGCTTTCAAATGGACAGATGGACGTCAACTGTCAGGTACAGCCACCCCCTCCCCTTAGCAGCACACCGTGCGGACTGGCCAGGGAAAGTCACTGTTCTGCAGCTCCTGGTCCCATCCCCGTTCTCCACGGCGTCCCCTCCCATGCAGAGAGCCAGCTCAGGCCTTCCAGCATCCTCTTCCACACACCGGGCCAGCTCGGACCCTTCACAGCTTCCTCTTCCACACACACAGCCAACTGGGACCCTCCACGGCGTCCCTTTCCACGCACAGGGCTAGCTCAAGCCCTTGGGCCCTGGAACGTCTTGTCCCCTCCCTGTCCTCTTCTGCCCTGGCCTGCTATGGGCAGCCACACCAGATGCCCACACACCAGGGCAGCCTCTGCACTGTGTCTGGCTGGAGGCTCCTCCCTTGCTCTCCATCAGCTGTGTCTAGATGTCACCATTTGAGGGAGGTGTCACTGGCCTTCCTCCACGGCACCCATCTTCCTTCCTACTCACTGTCTGTCTCTCCCCCACAGCCAGCGCCACGGGGCAGGGTTTGCCGTGCTCACTGTCCATCTCTATCCCACAGCCGGCGCCACGGGGCAGGGTTTGCCGTGCCTGTGTGCTGATCAGCAGTGCCTCACACACAGTGGGCACCTGCCTCACGAGTGAATGACTGGGGAGACCAAAGGAGGGCAGGCTTTGAGGCTGCTCAGCACACACTGGGGGTCCCTCCTGCATGGACTCGCAGCTCTGGGATAAGTGCCATCCTCGCACTGTCTCTCACTCCTTTCTTCAGGAGGCTTGGTCCAAGTCTTTTTAGCCCAGTGGTTGCCCACCCAGTTGTTGACAGCCATCTTCTGTGCCCTCTTGGCCATGGCAATGTCCCCATGGGCCAGAAGCAGCAGCGCCTCTTACTCTTGCCTTTGCCCTGAGCATCCAGAGGCCAGAGCCCCTGCCTGTTCACTGCATCTGAAGCATCCCCTGACCTCTTCTCTCTGACGTTGTACCCTCATCCATTGAGCACGGGGCTGGGCTCCGGGAGGCTGTGCTCTGCGTCCCTGCTGTGTTCCCAGTGCCTGTGGTGGTGCTGACCGTCGACCGCAGGGGAGATGTAGCTTTAATCATGGAGGCTGCTGTGTCTATGACAGCAGGATGTACAGGCTGACAACTGCAGGGGAGATGTAGCTTTAATCGTGGAGACTGCTGTGTTTGTGACAGTGGGATGTGCAGGTCCTTTGAGGGGTGCTGGGGAAGAGGCCGAGTCTTCTGCCTTCAGAGTGGGAATTGGCCACAGGACCCTCATTTTCAGTAAAGTTGCCTTTTTCTGGCTTAAAGAAAATTGCCCAGGCCCCCTGACTGGACTCAGGAGTGACGGGAGCCAGAGAGCAAGTCAGCCTGGTGGGCTTTCTGCTCCCTGCCCAGGAGGAAGCAGGGGGTCAGCCTCCGTCTGCCTATCCATCTCCTGCCCACAGTTCCCAGCTGCTGCTCTGATAGGGTCCCTGGCTCTCCTGCATGCAGCCACCATTGGAGGCTGAAGGAGGAGCAGAGCCTGCTGCAGCCCAGGCTTCCTGCCAGCCGAGGCTGCTGGTGCGCTCCAGGTCTGGCCTGGGCGTACGAGGTTTCAGCTCCCTTGTGTGTGCCATTAGACACGGTGCACACAGCTGTGTTGGTGCATCCCCAGTGAGTGGTGCCCTGACAGGACAGCTGTGTCGGGCAGGGTGGTTGGGCCTGGCCCAATCCTGGTTCTGCCTTTGTCCTGCACTGGTGGAGCTACCTAGGGCTGTGCTCTGGGGAAGAACTGAGGCCTCTCAGGGTTGCATTCAGGTCCTGAGTGAGATGCCTGCACAAGGGGTATGGTACCTGGGAGGTGCGGAGACCTCGGCTGTGGGAGTTCTCATCGCTCTGGCGGTTGCCGGTCTCTGGATCGATGACCGCTTTGTTCTCTTCCCTGGCAGGATGACGGAGGCTGGACGCCCATGATCTGGGCCACGGAGTACAAGCACGTGGACCTCGTGAAGCTGCTGCTGTCCAAGGGCTCCGACATCAACATCCGGGACAACGTAAGTTCATCACACCCTCCCCGGGAGCAGTGTCTTGGAGGGGTGGGGACCTCCTCCTCCAGAAGGTTCTTTTCTCAAAAGCAGAACCCTGGCACCTGGTGGCGGCTTTGACCTCTTCCTGTGGCAGCATCGGCCCGGCGCTTAGCTGTGGCTGTCCTGTGCCGGAGGCAGATAGGGGGTGTGAGGTCCCAGCAGAGGCCACCCTCGAGGGACCTGCGGGTTCAGAGGGCGCTGCCTGCCCTGCTGTGCCTCCTGCTGCCTCATGGCGCCGTGCTTGGGCCTGAGGCTGCTGACCTTGTGTGGGTGCCACAACACCTCTGGCTCTCTCTCTGTTTTTTGTTTTTTGTTTTTTTTTTTGGATGCAGTCTCGCTTTGTCGCCCAGGCTAGAGTGCAGTGGCGCAGTCTCGGCTCACTGCAAGCTCTGCCTCCTGGGTTCAAGTGATTCTCATGCCTCCGCCTCCCCTGTAGCTGGGACTACAGGTGTGTGCCACTGTGCTTGGCTAATTTTTGTATTTTTTATTTGTTTGTTTTTGAGACGGAGTCTCTCTCTGTCACCCAGGCTGGAGTGCAGTGGCGCAATCTGAGCTCACTGCAACCTCTGCCTCCTGGGTTCAAGCAGTTCTCCTGCCTCAGCCTCCGGAGTAGTTGGGATTATAGGTGCCCACCACCATGCCTGGCTAATTTTTGTATTTTTAGTAGAGGCGGAGTTTTGCTGTGTTGGCCAGACTGGTCTCAAACTCCTGACCTCAGGTGATCCACCTGTCTCAGCCTCCCATAGTGCTGGGACTACAGGTGTGAGCCACCACATCTGGCCAATTTTTGTAGTTTTAGTAGAGACAGGGTTTAGCCATGTTGGCCAGGCTGGTTTTGAACTCCTGACCTCAGGTGATCCACCCACCTCATCCTCCCACAGGATTACAGGCATGAGCCACCGCGCCCGGCCCCTGGCTCTCTCTTTGAAACAGAGGAAAGAGAAGTGAATCGTTTATCGCACCACGGTTTTCTAGGGTGTGATTTAAGATGCTTCAGTGACAGTTTTGTAAGGCCCTTTTGTTTGCTCAGAAAATAGAGTTTGGAGCTGAGATAAGAGGACTCCCCAGTTCTGGGGTGGCTCCTTCAGCCTGAGAGTGGCAGCAGGTGACTGATTAACTCAAAAGGTTGTTCACTAGAAGGTCTTCAGGGACCCACAGAACCAGTGGGGCTGCCAGGGGGCTGGGCATGGCAATGGGCACGACAGCGAGGGACGAGGGGAGTCCTCTGGTCACCTCCCACGACGGGCATAGACATGCTGCAGCCCACAGAGCTGTGTCCACCTTCACAGACGGGCTCCAGAAGCCATAAATGGGAAGTCCAGCCACAAATAAACTCATTAAGTTGATCATAAGAAAGAAGATTTGACACAGAGAAAGATTTCTAAAAGCACACTATTAAATCTCCAGTGTGCTGAAGCCTGGCGTCTGAGGAGGAAGGGTTGACACTGCCTCTCAGAGCCTGAGAACAGCGTGGGCACGGGCACTTGCCATTCATTGTTGGCACGGGGGGGTCTGCATTTGGAACCCTCCCTGCATGTGAGCAGACCCCGCTGTGGTCCACTGGCTGTGAGCACCCTCCGCCTCCCTGCAGGCACACAGGCCTCTCCGGAGTGACTGGTCCTGAGCCGCGGTGCCTCCTCCGTGGGCTGCAGGCTTCCGTGACTGTGTCTGGGGGGTTTCTACCTCATTCCACCGGAGTTCTTTCCTGCTGGGGGTTAGGACAGCAGCACGATGGTGAGAGGAGCCCTGAGCCGGCAGAAGGAAGAGAAGAGGGAAGCAGAGGCAGAGGAGCCCTGAGCCAGCGGAAGGCTGTGGCGGGTACCTTGGAGGAAGAGAGGAGGGAAGCAAAGGCAGAGGACAAGGCAGAGGCCACCCCCAGGTGGGGCCGCCTCACCTACCACCCCCAGAGACTGTGTGGCAGGCAAGGCAACCCTAGTGTGGCTGGTTGACCTGCGTGCCTGGGCAGCTTGCAGCCTGTCCAGGTGTCAGAGCTGTTAGCTCTCTGATGCTGGTGGCTGTTTCCCCGGAATGGAAGCATTGATTAAATTTCAAGTTTGTTATTTATAGAATGAAACACTTCATTAATGTAACTACTGTATTGCTGTATAATAGGTAGGCTGCATATACTCAAAGTACACACTCGGGTGGATTTTCACCCAGAAGCCATCACTGCTGTCGGAAGAGCGAGCCCGGTCCTCCCTCATGCCCTGATGATCTAGCTTCAGGTGATTCCTCCGCACTTCACAGCCGTGCCCAGCCCACCCCTGCCACCCATTGCTGGGTTTTCTGCTATCTGCGTGTCTCAGTTTTATAGAAAAGGGCTCTCACCATGGGTGCCTTTCCCTTGCATCTTTAAGCCAAGATCCCCATTTTCGTTGCCTGAAGTGCCCGTTATGTGAATGTGTCTGTTTACCCTTCACCTGTCAGTGGGCATTTAGGTTGTTTCTGATTTTTGGTTGTTACTAAGAGAGGTGCTGTGGATACTCATGCCTTAATTTCTCTTGATTAAATCCCTGGGAGTAGAATGGTTAGATCATAGGATAGGTGTGTATGTTTAACATTTGCAGAGACTGCCAGTAGCCGGGCATGGTGACACACACCTGTGGTCCAGCTACTCGGGAGGCTAAGAGGGGAGGATCGCTTGAGCCCAGGAGGTCAAGGCTGCAGTGAGCTGAGATCGCACCACTGCCTAGCCTGTCTCCAAAAAAACAAAGCCTGCCAGACTGCTTTCCAAGTGATGGTACCATCTCTAGTGTGTGACGGTGCATTCCTCCATTCTCACACTGCTATCAGGGTTCTACCTAAGACTGTGGAATTTATAAACAAAAGAGGTTTAATTGACTCACAGTTCAGCATGGCTGGCGCGGGGTGGTCTCGGGAAACTTAACAATCATGGCAGAAGGCAAGGAGAAGTAAAGCACGTCTTCCGTGGTGGCAAGAGAGAGATTGAGGAGCCTTGTACCACACTTTAAAACCAGCTGTTATGAGAACTCACATGAGAACAGCATGGGGACCCACGCCCATAATCCAGTCAGGTCCCTCCCTTGACACATGGGGATTACAATTCAAGACGAGATTTGGGTGGGGACACAAGGCCAACCCATATCAGAGAGTCCTGGTTCCTCCGCATCCTTCCCAACACGTAGCATGGTCAGTCTTTAAATTTTATCCATTTTGGTAGGTGTGTTAGTGATCTGTTGTTGTGGTTTTAGTTTTCAGTCATTTCATTTTCATTTCTCTAATGACAGTTGACGTTAAGCATCTTTTTATGGGCTTATTTACGATCCATATATCTTCTTTAATGAAGGGTCTGTTCAAATCTTTTTCTTGCTTATTATCAGGTATTTTTTTTTATTCTGGAGGTTTAAGAGTTTATGTTCTGGATATAAGTCCTTTATCAGATATATGGTTTACAGATCTGTCTTTGGAAGTGTAGAATTTTAAAAGTTTTTATAAAGTTTGGTTTATCAGCGTTTTTCTTTTTTTTTTTTTTTAACTGGATCCTGTTTTGGCATTCTGTTTAAGAAATCATTGCCTAATCTGAGAACCCAAAGATATTCTCCCACATTTCCTTATACGAGTTTTATGGTTTGGGGGTTTCCATTTAGGTCTACGTTTTGTTATAGTTGACTTTTGTATATGGTGTGAGGTATAGATTGAACCTTTTTTTTTTTTTTTCGCTTGTGGATGCCTAGTTCAGTGCCATTTGTTGAGAAAACCATTCTTTCTACATAGAATTGACTGTACCATTGCCAAAGGCCAGTCATCTGCACGTGTGAGTCAGTCATCCATGTGTCAGTCCACGTGTGTCAGTCGTTTGCATGTGTCAGTCATCCATGTGTGAGTCAGTCATCTGCATGTGTGAGTCCACTTGTGTCAGTCGTCCATGTGTGAGTCAGCCATCTGTATGTCTGTCAGTCGTCCACATGTGTCAGTCCCCATGTCTGTCATCCACATGTGAGAGTCAGTCTGCATGTGTGAGTCAGCTGTGTGTGTGTGAGCCTGTCATCCGCATGTGTGAGTCCATCATCTGCATGTGTCAGTCGTCTGCATGTGTGAGTCATCCATGTGTCAGTCATCCACGAGTGAGTCAGTTATCTGCGTGTCTGTCAGTCATCCACATGTGTCCACATGTGTGCCATTTGTCTACATGTGAGGGTCAGTCATCTGCATGTATGAGTCAGTCATCTGCATGTGTGTGAGTCTGTCATCCACATGTGTGAGTTGGTCATCCATGTCAGTCGTCCGCATGTGTATCAGTCGTCTGTATGTGTGAGCCAGTCATCCACATGTCAGAGTCAGTGGTCCACATGTGTGTAAAGTCAGTCATCCACATGTGTGTGTCAGCTCCAGGACCCTCTCTTTTGATGCATTGATCTGCATATTTGCCTTTAGGCAAGTACTGTCCTTGCTTGACTGATGTAGTTTTACAGTAGGTCTTGCGAAATCATTTTTCTTCTCCCAAACTTGATACTGCTATTCTTCTACATTTTACATACATACATATATATATATATATATAAAATATCTATATGTTCTGAACACCATAATAGCCATATGGTTATTCTGTTTAAACAGCCATTAGTTTTTTTTTTTTTTTTTTTAATGGAGTCTCACTCTGTTGCCCAGGCTGGAGTGCAGTGGCACGATCTCGGCTCACTGTAACCTCCGTGTCCCGGGTTCGAGCAATTCTCATGCCTTGGCCTCCTGAGTAGCTGGGATTACAGGCGCCCGCCACCACGCCTGGCTAATTTTTGTATTTTTAGTAGAGATGGGGTTTCACCATGTTGGTCAGGCTGGTCTCGAACTCCTGACCTCATGATCCACTCATCTTGGCCTCCCATAGTGCTGGGATTACAGGTGTGAGCCACTGCACCTGGCCTGGTCTTTTTTTTTTTTTTTTTTTTTTTTTTGGTGACAGAGCCTCTCACCCTGTCACCCAGCCTGGAGTGCAGTGATGCAATAGC